CAACTGCCCTCAGGTTGCATCTCTGAGCAAGGCTGGGGCTGGTATATTTTTCTATGCCTTTTTTTTTTTTTTTAATCTTAGGAGGTTTATTTCAGCGGGGCAGGAACAGAATGGGATGTGTGGTGGTAGAGCAGCAAGGAAAGGTTGGTGGGGGGCAGCCAGAAGGAGAGAGAGAGAGAGAGAGAGAGCACGCACGAGCCACACCTGCGGGTCTTTACGTCATTCAAGTGAGCCCACATGGTATGGGGGGCAGGGGGCAGGGATTGGGAGAGACCGAGGGTAGGCTCCAGGGGATTGGTGCCTGAGACTGTCACAGGTGATTGCCTAAGAATGATTGGTAAGTGGATAGAGTTGGGGAAGGGGCTGGGAGATTGGGGGTGGGATTCTCAGGTGAAATGCCAGTTTACATCTGATTGGTGGATGGCTGAACTGGCACAAATTTCATGAGCTATGAAGAAGAGAAAATGGTGCCAGGTCCAGGGTGGGATATTTGAATAACTCCTTACATTCCTCCCCTTTGTTATATATATAAGGAAAGGGGACATTGTTCTCTGTGGCTTCTGCTATGCCATTTGTTTTGAGTCCTGCCCACCCATTTAATTTGCAGCTGTTCTAGCTGGATCAGCAGTAGGAGATGCAAGGATGAGGGGATCTGCTAGGGTGAGACTAGCCTAGAGGGCAGGAGGGGACCGTAAGATACAGAGGGGAAGCTGGGAACACCAGGAACCTTTTGCCCATCCAGTGCTATCGTGTGTGAGGAGCAACAGCCAACCAAAGGTAGCTGTGTTTCCTCATCCTTCCCCATGGCAGCTATCACCTGCTCTTCCAGGTACGTACTTACCTTGTCAATAATAGTAGCGCCAAGAACTTCTTTGAACTTTCACTTATCAAAACTTAGCCATGGTGTGCCCCATGTCTACAGCAGAGAACAGCCAATCTAAGAAGCATCTAAGAACAGCCCTCCAATGGACCTCAAGTAATGCCTGGCATGTTCTAAGAGCTTAGTACTGTGCCCCTTACCCAATGAATGATGCGCTTAGTGCTAAGGCAGCCTAACTGGAAACATCCTCTAAGCTGCTCTGCCCTTGGCCTGACAGAAACTCCACAATCCCATTTCACCAAAAACCTTTACATAGACAGGCCCTCACTGCCACAACAGATGGGTTTTTCTTTCCGTCTACCACTGCCAAATCAGAGAATTCTTAGCCTTCTGGGCCTCAAGTCATCCACCACTGCCCTCCCAAGCCACAAGCAAAGAGCTGGACAGGAAGTGATGCAGCCAGGATGCAAACTGGCATCCACATAGGATTCTGGCAGAGGCAAGGCAAGGATTTAGTCATTAGGTTATCGTGCCAGGCCCAGCCTCATGTTTTGTTTCAAAGACTTCAGACCCTGGAAGATTCTGGCTTCTGGCTTCAGGCTGCGCTGCTTTATTCATTGTGGCCATCTTTGGAGTGAACCAGTAGATGGAAGATCTTTGGTTTATTCTCTCCTTCTCTCGGTAAATCTGCCTTTCCAATAAAAAGAAGTTAGGAAAAAAAAAAAAAACTAAAGAGACTTGAGCATCATTCCATGGATTTTCTTTTTTCTCAAATCGTCCTCAAATACCTTATAAGACAATGGGGAGTGGGGATAATACAACTACACAAAGGCCACTTCTGGCACTTATGGAAGGTGCATAAGAAAACTAGGCAAAGTCCCTGGCTTTGTGCCTCCCTTGGAGCCCAAAGCTGCAGACAGAAATACTGAGAGGCTCACAATGGTCATCTTATCTGGCCAGCCTGGCATCAAACCCCGGGGTGCAGGTGGGGCACACAGCGTCACACCCCACCCAGTCCCTCAGCTCTCAGCGCGCCCGTCTCCTCCCAAAGCCACCGAGCAGAGCTAGTTCAAGGAGTTCCATCCAGAGGGAGGCAGGGGAAACTGAAGGTAGTGGTGTTCACCGGGAGTGACAGTGAGTTGAACTCGGTATGCAAATTTATGCAAGATGAGATGCAAAGCAGCACCCGGAGCCAGAAGTCCCATGGCATCCTCCCCGCCCCCCTTTTCTGAAGCTGTGCTGAACCACTGTCAATCAGTGGTTCGCCTCTGTCCCCCTCCCCCAGCCCCCACGCTACCACCCTGATCTTCCCCCAGCAACTGCAGCCGCAGAGCCTCCAGGGTCCGCCCAGGATCTTTGAATGATTGCCCTTTTCTATAGCACCTTTATATGTGCAGCCAGCCAGACGGCCACTTGGGTAGACCCGCCTCTTGACATAATCCCTTGCATTGTACCAGGCAGGGAAGGAGGCTGGGGGATGCTGAGGAACCAGCCCAGCCCGAATTCTGAAAAGGCCCGGCCTGGCCTGAGCCTGATCCCTCCCCCCACAACCCAGCCCACCCCCACCCCGACTTTTCCAGGCAGTTGGGTCCTCTCCATCACCTGACTTCATAGAGTTCAGAAACCGCTTCCATTTTGCTTCCAGGCCTCTCCACCCTTGGCTCCACCCACCTCCCAGCCTGACCACTCTGAACTTACCTAGCCCACCAAAATCTCCCCTCCCTTTCCTGACCCCTGCAGGATACAGACTCCCGGTCACCCCACTTCTACCACCCTCTACTACCCGCTGCTGTGTCCACCCCACCCCCGCATCTCTGCCATTCCCAGGAAGCCAGCGACTCAGCCCCAGAGGCCCAGGAACAAAGACAAAAGAGCTAACAGCAAAGCCGGAACTGCTGGGGTTTGCTGCCTTGAAATAAGAGGGTGTGCTTAAAATTCCCAAAAGCAACCTGCTCCAAGAGGAATGCGGAGGGGGAGGCGGTGAGGGGTTCATTCTTCAGAGTAGGGGGAGGAGAGATGGGAGATGGAGAGGGGATCTTAGCATTGTGCCAGGGCCATGTATGGCCTGCACCCCATCCCCAGTTCTAATTTCCCTCTTAAGAACCTCCAACCTCACGTCACCTACTCCCTGCACCTCAAGAGTTCAGGTTTCTTCCACAGTGCCCCTCCCCTAGCCTTATTCCCATCTCTGGCACCCCAATATTGGGCCTGTCCTCCCAAGGTAGCTCCTGAGCTTCCACCCGCACCACGTGCCCACCCTTGCCTACTGCCCCCCCCCTCAACTACCACCAAGGACAAAAGGGCGGAAGGTGTCCTGGCAAGGGGAGGAGACAGCTGAGGTGGCAGCCAGAGGAAGCTGGCTAGGGAGTCCCACTTAACTGGGCTGAAAATCCCCCATTGTCCTGGGGCTCTGGCCTCCCTCATCTCTCCTCTTCCTCTTTCAGGCTCCAGGAAAGGAAAGGAGCCAGCTTCCCACATCTGGTCCCTGATAGAGGACTCCAACCGGCTTCAGGCAGAGGGCGGCTTTTCAGGCTCACAGTGAGCTAAACCAGAGCCGGAGGAAGCACTAAAGCCATGAGGGAGCAAAAGCACACTGCATGCTTGATCAATAGCCACAGTCCGAGCACTCGGTGAGCCTGGGAGACCTGTGCAAAGCCCTCCCGCAGGGGAAGACTCCTTGTCAGTTGTCAGAGTGAAGCTCTGGTTGGCACAGAAGCCACAGGACCACCAAGCACAGACCACGGAGAAGTGGGCAGGGCTGCAGGGCCGGCAGCCGAGGCGGAAATCAAGGGGCTTTTCCTTCTAATACCGCTTTCTAAGAGAAGCAAGAGGGAAGGGTCCACTGCCAGGCAGGTTGGAGAGGAAAAGCAACTCGGCGAGCCCAGGCTGTCCACTTGTCGGAAGCCCTATCTTGCTCAGTATCCAAGGTCAAAAAATGTGCCAGAGAAATGCATTTCAACTCCGATCCCTAAGTTCATTCTCAAGTTGGGGTGGGGGAAGGCGGGGTACACAGGAGACAGGAAAGAAGAGCAAAGATCCACGCTTTCCTTTTCTTCCTTCCTTTGCTGTAAGTTTGAGAAACTTGGTCAAACTTGCTGGTTGCTTTTTTTTGTTTGTTTGTTTTGTTTTGCTTTAACCACAGCTGTGGTCTCCAGCCCCAGCTGTCTTGCAGAGGAAAGAGCAGCTCTCTCCAGGCCCCAGGGCTGGAGGGGTGTGTGTGTGTGTGTGTGTGTGTGTGTGAGAGAGAGAGAGAGAGAGAAAGAGAGAGAGAGAGAGAGAGAGACTCCTTATGTCTGTTTGTGTCTCCACACAACTTATGGAAGGGACGAGGCCCTCTTAACAAAGGGAGGTCCCCCCCTACCGCACCCGCTTAGTTAAGACTGGGGGGAGCTGGAACGGCGCTCACTGCTCGTGCCTGAGCCTGAGCCATAGCTTGCACGAGCCTGGCTTCTCCTCCCGCCCTCGGACCTGGGGGCCCAGACGCTGGACCCGGCATTGCACCGCTACCCCTTCCTGGGATGGGCTTAAGTTACACTGCTGCAGCTGTGTTGGGGGACCCCCCCATTCCCCGTTGGCACCACAAACACCCCACCCCTTGAGTTTTACATCCCATGCAGTTGCAAGAGCCCTGTGGTCCTCTGTACGAGGTAACTCGCGCTTCGAAGTACTAAGTCCTCTCTCGGCTGCTTCACAAGCCCAGGAAAGAAAAGCGTTCCTTCCAGCTGCGGGTTCCTCGTGCCAGCTCCCCCTCCGCACCCAGGACCCGCCAGGACCCGCAGCAGCCTCTGCCTCCCAGAGGTGATCCGACAGAGCCCTTTTGTCAGGGACTACCCGCCTCCCCCGTAGATAGCTGCGTCCCAAACAGGCTTCAAGGTCCTATTCCCACGTATCTGCCCTGCGCCCTGCTTCCCCGAATAAAAGTCAGGGTACGCTCCCCTACCGACTGATCCCCACCAAATTAGTAGCCAAGGCGCTTCCGCCTGCTCTCACTCCAGCCCACCTCCCTGGGCCTGACTTGCGGGCGTCCGCTCGTAATAACCCTGTGCTGAACTGCCCAAGGGCTCCACTCTTTCTGCCCGGAGTTCCGGCTTCCCAACAGAACAGCTTCCCTACAGAACGGCCGCAGCCAAGGCTCCGCCGCTGCCCTCTAAGTTTCTCCACTCGTCCCGGCCCGCATTACCTGCAACCTGCTGGGGAGTGACGTTCTGCAACTTTTCGCAAGTGGCCTCCCCATGGACCAGTGCCTGCAGGGGCAGCTCGGAGCCCGGGTTGGGATAGCAGCGCAACCCCTGGCCGCAGCGCGGGGTGTACACACCGCACGCCTCGCCTTCCAGCCGAGCGCACACCGAGCAACAACCGCAGCCCGGCTCCCGAACCAACTCGGCGCAAGGCGGAGTCGGCGGGGGTCCGCAAGCGGCCAGGCGCTCGGGCGTGCAGGGCGGGCAGCGAAACAGCACCTCGGAACGCACCCCGCGACCGCCACTGCCACCCGCACCCAGCAGCAGCAGCAGCAGGAGTGGCAGCGCGGGGCCGCCCAGTCTCGGCAGCATGTTGGCGGTAGGGAGCGCGACGGCAGAGAGCAAGCGAACGACCTAGCTAGCGGGCAGGTGGCACGGCTCTGCGAGCCCGCTTCTATCTCCTCCCCTGCCGATTCAGCCGGGTCCTAAAAAGCCTGCTTCTCCCCGCCCCCTGCTTTCTCCCCTCCCCCTTGTGGAGACCATCCCCTTACCCCCCACCCCCTTGCACCCCCGCGCGGGCGGCCTTGTGCGTGCGCGCACGCCCCCTCGCCCAGCAGGCGTGGGCTCCCGGTTACGTGGAGGGCCCAGCCCTCTCTCCCGGGCTCCCTAGCTCCCAGCGAATAAAAGTAATTTGCAGGTTTGCAGGTTTGAGTAGGATGGGTGTGGGAGAGGCGCAGAGCTTTTGTGTGCGATCTCTCCTGTTCAATTTGGAAGCCCTCAGTTTGCGCTCCTTCCGTGCGGTCGGCGCTGCTCTTACTGCTAGGGACAAAGGACGACGGGCAGGCTTGACCTTCAAGTGGGTTGCAGTCTGTTCACATCAACAATCTCCATCCTCCACGGCTGATATGTGGCTAGGAGCAACCGCTTTAGTGTTTTGTGGGTCCGGACTGCATCAGGCTAGCCCCAGATAGCCGCTCTGTGTTCATCGCAGTTCCCGGAAAAGGGGCCCCATGTAGCTGCAGCCTAAGAAAATTCTAAGTGCCGTTTCTGGACAACCATAAAACTTCTCCCTTTTTCTCCCCTAAACCCCGCCTCTATGCCTCCCCCAAAATAAGCCCTAACGACGTGGGTACCCAGTCCGTAAATCCCCAAGTCCTTGCTACAGGATCTTAGCTCAACATACCCTGCTTGGGGTTGAGGGAGGGCGGGACAGGGGTCTCAGTGAGGTCAGGTCAGAGCGCAGGTGTGAACGCACGCCCTGAGACAGGGCTCTTCATTGCTCCTCCTGCAATAATGCAAAGGGACAAGCGAGGCTTTCTTTCATTGTTCTGTTTGCTTGACCTCAACTCTACCCAAGCTGCCCCAGCTCCCATCACCCCAGCTTGGACTCAGCCTTAATTATCACCCCTCTTCCTGCTTGACCAAAACTTGTCAGGGATTGTGTTGGTGAGAGAAGCTGCCTCCAGGCCAGGTTTAACTCCCAAAGCCTTAGCGCCACTCCTCCCACTGCACCCCATCCCTCATTCTGCCCCTCCATCCAGCTTTCTCTGAGCCTAGGGTTTACAGCCTGTTCAGTTCAGCCTTTCTTTACAACTGTTCCTTAAGCCAGTGGGCACCTGGTTTTGCAGGTGAGCTGGCTGTCTCCCAAAAGACAAATTCCTGATCTTAAGGAAGACAGAGTGGAAGAGTTTGGTAAGACAGACAAATAACTGGTTTTTCAGAAGCTGTGAAGAAATGTTTAGTCAGAGAGGTGATGGGTGGGGCCGGGGAGGTGAGGGATGATTTTGGGGGAGTCAGAGTTGAAGATCAAAGATTAGAATCCTGCCAGCAAAAAGAAGGAATAGCAAAGACCCCTGGAACCCAAGCACCAGCAAAAGCAAGGACACAAAAGGGAAGTCTGGAGAGCAGAAAGTCCTCCACGGCCGGAAAGCAAAGAGTGCTCAGGACACCTATGGGAGACTGGCAGGAAATTCAGTCGGTGGAGCTTTGGCTTAATTTGGCGGCGTGGGATCTAGTCTCTGTGCTTGCATAGACAAGTGAGACAAGCGAAACTAGGCTTGAGATCGCTAGAGCTGTATGGAACGCAGACAGGCATTGAGAGTCTGCAGCTGACCCACCCCAATGTGCCCGATGCCTTGTGCCTGCCGTGGGACAAGTTTGTATTGACTTCCCCCAGACTGGCTCCTTGAGAGCAGGTCTAGGACCCATGTTGCCCCATGCAAACCAATGCAAGCTCAAATGTGAGTTATGTATAAAGCTTAAGACTTTTTAGTAGCCACATTGAAATGAAGCAAAAAAGAAGCCATCTATTTTAATAATATATTTAACTCAATATATCCAAAAATTTATCAGTTCAGCATATAATCAGTACTAAAGAGGACTAGTGAAATTGAGCATTCCTTTTTTTTTTTTTTAAGTAGCAAATCCAGTAGCTCTGATGTGCCTGTGACACTTTCAGCACAGGTGAATTTGAATTTAGTCAACTTTCATGTACTCAGCAGCCACATGAGCCTACCAAACTGAGCAGAGCATATGTCTGAATCAAGTGCTCTGAGTAGGCACTCAGTAAGAATTTGTAAGATAACTGGAAAGTACTGCCTTTATCTAAAACCATCCCTGGCATGGTCCCTTAAGCCTTTTGGTTTCCATTACAATGCCCAGGAGCTGGGGATGTTACGTGGTGAGGAATCTACGAGGGGCTAGGAGAAGCATGCCTACACGCCTTCATTTAGTAACTCACACATATTCTGAGATTCATTGTCCTTATAGCTTTCCTTAAATCTCTTCATCTTGTAGATAAGAAGTGGCAAGATGAGTAGACTACATAATGGTGGCTTCACAAGTGCAAAATACAAAATGACTTTGTCTTCCTATTAGGAAGGCTGAAGACCACAGCCTAGCTCTTTGCCCTTAGTTCATAGATTAATAACCAGTCTTAGCCCACTCTGCCCAAATGCACACAAACATGGTGATGACAGCCCAATCTCTCTACGTCATCTTCCAGCCCGCCATGAGTCTCAGCTTGCATTCCAGTTAGGTCTGTTGTCGCTGAGGCTTGAGTTCCAGATCCTCTTCTATAAAACAGAAGCAAAATCACAATGAAAACAACATTAACAGAGCTTTTTTAAATGGAACTGAGGAGTGGGCATCTATTCCAGCAGCTAAGATGCCGGTGTCCCTAATCAGAGTGTCTGGACTCTGTGCCTGGCTCTGATCCCTAACTCCAGGTCCCTGCTAATACAGATGCTTGAAGGCAGTGGTCCTAACTGAAGTAGTCAGGTTCTTATCACCCACTTGAGACATGCCTTGTGTTTGCAGTTCTTAGCTCCAGCTCCAGCCCAGCCCTGGCCATTTTGAACATTTGGGGAATGAAACATCAAATGAGTGCACATTCTCTAACTTGTTGTCTCTGTCTCTCTTCCTATTTCTCAAATAAATGAAGAAACTTTAAAAAAAAAAAATAAAGTTGGAAGGCCACTAAGGAAGCAAGACTTAGGCACATCTCAAGTTGCTGCCTGAGGACTTTGGTTTCCTCCACCCTTTTTGTGCAACCATCTAAGAGACTGGACATGACAGGGAGGCTCTCAGATTCTCGTTTTGTAGACACAGTTGCTAAGTGTGTGTATTATTTTCTTTACATTCTGTGTCCTGGTTATTGTTTTCATGTTCAACAGCCCATGTAACTTCCCACTTATTGCAATTCCTAAGACCTCAAAGTTCATTTTACCTTAACAGTTTCTGAGTTTGAAACCAGGTTGGTGTTCTTCCCAAGACCAAAGCCTTTTACTGTTCTCCCCCACTTCCTACCATGTTCCTGGCCTCATGGTTTTCCAACAGGTTTTGGCTGTAACGGTCTGTCCACATCTATTAAAGTTTCTGTTTTCTTAGAAGAGTTGTTTAAAACTGAGCTCCACGTGTGCCAAAAAAGGAGCACCCATGACCTGCAAATGAATGCTAAAACCAGAGTTACATGCACAACCCAACTGAATTAAGAGTGGAAGCAGGAGAGCTAGACACCCCAAGGAAACCAAAGGTTCCAAGATGAATACAGCTACTAAACTCTCCCTCATGCATGCAATCAAAAATTGCTCAACTCTTTTTCCTGAACACCTCAAATTTCCCCCAGAATCCAGATGGAACATTAAAAACACTTCTCCTGTATCCTTCACTGGCTGACACATACAGCCTTTTCCCTCTTGTAGACCTGAGATCACAGACTGGTCTTTATGCACATCAATACAGGAGGCCATCCTCACTCAGTAACATGTCTGAACTGATCAACATGTTAACCAACGTAGCCTAGAAAAATAAAGGGACGCGGCCACTGCCCCTGGTCTGGTTCCCGGCTACCCTGAGACTCTTCCTTCTTGCTCATGGCTATAGATCTAGGGCCTACATCCATGCCTAGCTCAGAGACACTCAATAAGTATTTGAACCAGGTTCACTGCTGCTGCCCATTGTCCCTTGATCATTGCTTACTTGAACATCTCAGGAGGCCTCTGCAAGGGCTGTGTCCCTGGGCTTGTGAGCCTGTCTGCACCAGGCAGTGGGCACTGGCTCCAAGCTAGGGACAGGCTGAGGCGGGTTTACTCCCTTATCCCTAATCCCAGCTTTTCTCCATTTGAACAACCCTACCCAAACCCCACCCTCACAGGTTTACCGTAACTAAGAACCACTTGTACTATTATTTGCAAGATGTTTTAATGCAAGTCAGCTCATTTTTTTTTAACTTACAGCTATTTTAAAAATAAACTTTATGTCATTACCATAAATGGAACTCTGAGTGGCTAAATACAGATGGCAACCATAAAAATAAACACAATGAAAACAAAACAATGCTCTTTGATTTCAGCCAGAAACTATTGATTGCTGAAACCTCTGAATTCAGGGCACCCTCCCCAATGGGGGGGAAAAAAGTGAGTCGGTAGAGGCAGAGATTTGTTCCCCAAGTCATCTGAAGGAAGGAAGATTTTTAAAAAACATTTTCTGGAATTACACGTGCGAGAAAGGACCTATACATAGATTTGTTAAGTGTTCGCAAGTTGATCACACTGAGTAACCAGCATCCTAGTAGCTCGGTTGCCTACCTGCCACATAAGAGTGCCTGGGCTCAACTGGCAGCTCTAGCTCTTGACTCCAGCCGGCCCTGGAAGCAGTGAGATAGGGTGCGCATGACCGAGACACTACCACCTACAGGAGAGACCTAGACTGAGTTCCCAGATCCCAGGTTTGGCTTGTTTCAGTCTGGATACCATGGATATCTGGGGAACGTACCAGAGAATGAGAGTACACACTTGCATTCTCTCTCTCAAGTAAACAAGTACGTATTTAAGAAGATGTTTTCAAGCTAGGAAGATGTTTATAGAGAAGGG